GTCACATGGCAAGAGACTGACAATCAGTCTTCTCCAATGCCCAGTGGCGCGGTCGGTTTCGCCACAAATACCATCTATTCAATATTTTAAAATATATCTCCCTATAAGTCACGTACTTAATTAAATTGTTATTGAAGCTGCTCCCAACCATGTTTCCATAGGCCAAGATCGATCTAGTTCTTCTTCCCATAATCTAATGTTTAATGGTTTAATATCTTGATCCCTATCTCTTAATATACTAAAACATTTTGATACCAGATGCGTTTTATTAGTTAAGCATATGAACTTTTCACAAGCTGTCATTTGTCTAATCTCTTTCTGGTGGCAACTAGAAGATAAAATTCTAGTTCTCAGGCTATTATAGTCCAGCCAAAACCTAGTTGCAATTTTAAATTTGGTCTGTGAATAGTCAAATTGTACAAGTTTATTGTTGATGTATAAATCTCTCAAATATTTGCATCCTTCCTTCAATAATAGCTCAAGCAAATCCAAGGGGAACATTTTCAATAACCATGAAATTGGAATAATCAAGCTTGGAAAAGGTACAAGAGTATATTTGCTATTCAATTTTGACCAACTCTTTGCACTTTTCCATATTACCGACTCTTTGCTATACACTTTACTGCTGGGTAATTCTTTTTGAAAGAGGATTAAATTTAAATTCTCATCTTTGAGAAAAAAAGTTTCTGTCTGTGCCCAGTTGTTGCTTTTTTCCTCCTCCTTCTCCCATCTACCATATGAGCTAATAAGGTGGCTTCTTGATATTTCCTAATATCAGGGTAAGCTATTCCTCCTCTACAAAATTTCTTGATCATAATTGGTCTCTTAATCCGCATCTTTTTATTCTGATGGATAAATACGTCAATCACTCTCTGTATCTGATTGATCATATATATGGGACATTGTAATGGGATACAACGCATAATGTAAGTAAACTTAGGTAATATTGTCATCTTAATTGCTGATATTATTCCTAACCAAGAAATATTAAGATTTTTCGACGTGGCCAACACTTCCTTTATCTTAGTATAAACTATTTGATAATTAACCTTAATTGTTTTATTCATCTCAGAGAACAAGTTTATTACTAAATGGGTTATTGATTGTTGCCATTTAAATGGATATAATTCTGCCAACACGTTTTTCCTAATGTTCCCTATATTAAAAGTCATAGCTTCAGATTTCTTTAAATTTAATTTGTAATTAGAGATTTTACTATATTCTGTAATGATTTCTTGAAGAGCTTTTAATAAAATTTTCTGGGTTTTCTATTGTGATTATTACATTATCCGCATATAAGGAAATGATGTGTTGTTTCTGATTTATCGCAATCCCTCTTATTTTCTCAGATTCCCTTATCGCAATTGCCAACGGTTCAATAAGTAAAGCAAACACCAATGGGGATAGCGGGCATCCTTGCCTGATGCCATTTGAAATACAAAATATTCCTGAACGAAAATTTTGGCCGGTCACCCTTGCTGCTGGGGAAGCGTACAAAGCAGCTATTGCCTTAGAGGCAAAGTCACCTAAACTAAATTTTGACAGGGTGACGAACATAAAGTCCCAATCCACCCTGTCAAATGCTTTCTCTGCATCAAGTACCACAAAAATGGCTTCTGTTTTTTTATGTTTTACCACTGAGATTATATTTAAAAGTTTCCTGATATTGTCAGGACCCAGTATCCCCTTAATAAAACCAGTTTGATCCAGAGTGATCAGTTTGTGGATACTTCGATATAATCTTTCCGTTAAGATCTTAGCGTAGATCTTTATATCCACATTCAGCAAAGATATCGGTCTAAAATCACTACATTCTGGGATTAGTTTAATCGTTTTTGGTATCGTTATTATTTGAGCTTCTAATAGCTCCGAATGAGCTCGGCCTACTTTCTTGATTTCATTTAATGTTACACACAAATATTTAGAGATCTCCTCTTGACAAAGTAAAAAAATATTGATTAATATGACCATCCGGCCCTGGCGTTGAGCCCAATTTCAATTTTGAAATTGCCCATCCCACTTCTTGTTCCGTTATGTCTTCATTTAAAGTTCTCAACTCTGCTTGTGAGGTTTTTGGTAGATGAATTTTATCCAGACATTCTATAATTTTCCTTTTTTTTAAACATCTATCTGTATTTTTTAAATTCAAATTATAGAGCTCATAATAATATTTCTCAAAACATGTGGCTATATCGCTTGGAATGGCAAACCTTTATTATAAGAAAGCATGTCTATTCTATTGTTATTTGATTTTTGTTTTAACTTATTTGCCATCAACTTCCCTGCTCTATTGCTTCTGTGAAATAACCTTTGTTGCAAAGCCCATGTAGATTTATCAACCAGATACTGTTGAATCCTCTTTATTTGTAATTGTATCTCTCGAATCTTGGTTATCAATATATCGTTTGGGGATTTTTTATTCTCTCTATCTAATAGCATAAGTTCTATATGTAGTTCTCTTAAAGATTTACCTGTTTCTTTCTATGTGCCTGCCATTTTATCATTAACCCTCTTATATATTCTTTCTGAGAGAGCCAAACTATTTCTTTAGAATTTACCGAACCATCGTTTCTGAGGAAGAATGCGCTCAGTTCTTCTTTTAAATTTTCTAATATTTGGGGATCCTTAAGCAATTCTATATCCGTTCTCCGTGATCTATTACTCCTTATCTGGGGGCCCATGATCGCTCCCACCAGTCCATGGTCAGACTATGTGATTGCACCTATTACTGCATGCTTAATTTTAGATATACACTTCTATAAATATTGATCTTTATACAATATAAAGATGGGTCTGCAGGACACTATATTCACTTTATGTGAATTATTAGAGAACAACGACTCTTATATTAGGGGATTCTTACTAGGAATGTGTAAGTTTGAGATAACAAATTCCTCCAAACCCATTATAACCTATGTATGAGGGTACTGTAATTTGAAACCCTTTAATGTGTTTCAAATTACAGTACCCACAACTACAGCTTCAGTGAAAAGGCAGTATTTACATTGCCCCTAGGGACACCTCCAAGTGGCCACTCCTTAGCATGCCTCCCCCCCAATCACCAGTTAAAGTATAGATTGCCCTTTCTATATTCCCCAAAGAAGATAATTTAGTTCGAAGAACTGTACAAAAACAAAGAAATTAGGTGTGATTGGCGCTAGACTGAAAGAATGCACAAGTTCCCAGTGCCACTGATCACCTAATATGGCATAACATAGATAAATATAGTGTAAAAAAAAAAGCAAAGAGGGAAGTGCAATAATATAATAAGCAATACAATACTTAAATTTCCAATGAGATGCAGAGATTACAAATCTATACAGGAAACAAAAAAACAGGATACTCGCATAGTAAAATATGATTTTACAATATATTTATAGCAAGATCCGCTTAGACCTACTCACATTTACCAGAGCCACTAATAGCAGGCTCTGGCTTTGTTGGTATATAAGCAGGGTGTATCCAATTCATACAGCCACCACACAGACCGTAAAGGAATCTCCAGGGTAGAGTTGGTAAAAGACAGGATACTTTATTTTCAAGATAAAACAACTTGTTTCGACGATAAACGTCTTTTTCAAGTGTATGATGTCTGACCGGCATGCCGCGGTCCCGAAACTCCGAAGGGCAATTCTTTTGCCCCTAAAGGGACACTATTGCCCCTCCAATGGCTCAAAACTTGTTCGACACCAAAAAATAAAAGAGAACATAAATCACATTATGGGTATTACAGATAATAAAATAATTAATAAAAAACATTTCTTATTATTAAAAGAATAAAAGTGATCAACCTTTCTTTGTTTCTTCTACCTTTGCACCCCATACAGTCACCACAGTAAAATAAGCCATTTTGTGTATTCTAAATCTTGGATAAAAAGCTACCTTGTTCTTTTTCTATAAAACTTGTAGTTAAAATTTGTTTCAGATTTTGGGCACTTCTAAATACAACTTTTGGTTTTGTCCCTACATATTTCTTTAAGGAACTAGCCTGCTGTAAAATATACCAGTTTTGTTCAAGGATTTTTCTTAAGTCGCCTGTAGAGTTGAGTGGACACCTGGATGTTCAGGTCCAGTGGGTTTGGCCCAATTTTTAAAAAAGTCCGGATTCGGGCTCGAACTTGACCCCGAACCCGAACCCATTGAAGTCAATGGGGACCCAAACTTTTGGCCACAAAACTGCCTCTAAAAAACTCCTGGAAAGAGCTAGAGAGCTGCAAAAGCAAGTAAAATTGGGTAAGAGTAGGACAAGTGCCCTGCAAACAAATGTGGATAGGGAAATCACTTAAAATAACATAAAATTTTTAAATATAGCTGGGCCGTAAAATAGCAGCAGATGGAATCTTTGATTTTAGCATTGGAAGAACATAAATCAAAATCTAAAGCATGGCTGTCAGGAGGATCACCAGAATTATCCATTTGAGAGAGGGTTGGAGTGCAGGGTATTCTTTTTCATTGTTCAAACTGAGCTCAACTCCTGATGCATGGAGAAAAGGCCTTCACAAGCCTTTGCTATTGTGTACATAGTTTATACTAAGTGACCTATAGGTTGAGGAGGCGGTGACCGTGGCGGTGGAGAAAGGAGGATGAGGTAGCCAACACTGTTTTTTATATATATATATATATATATATATATATATATATATATATATATATATATATATGTAAAAAACAGATAAAATTCTTATCTTGTAATACCTTTTTTATTGGACTAACAGAATTTTTTAATGACAAGCTTTCGGGAGAACCTCCCTTTCTCAAGTCTGATATATATATAATAAAATAAAATAAAATAAAAAAAATAAAAATATATATATATATATATATATATATATATATATATATATATATATATATATATATATATATATATATATATATATATATAGATAGATAGATAGATATCTTTTTATTGGGAAGCCCACAAAATATTGGGACATACAAAAAAAAAGAAACATTTGCGGTCTGCGGTGCATTTCTTGCAGTCCTAATGCATGGATAAATGCTCAACTCCTGATGCATGGAGAAAAAACCTTCACAAGCCTCTGCTAATGTGTATATAGTTTATACTAAGTGACCCATAGGTTGAGGAGGCCTTGACCGTGGTTGTGGAGGAGGAGAATGAGGTAGCCAACACTGTTTTATAATATATATAAAAAAAGACAACTCTGTTCCGCAGAGTAGCTGTTGACATTATAGCTGCACAGGCACTTTGTTGACTCTAGAGAAACTCTGGCCAATCGCACATCCCCGTGGCAGCGACTTTGCATGCGGATGTCATCCATATCAACTTTCAATGCCAGTTTCTGCGCCTACCATGGTGACCACGGGTAACGGGAATCAGGGTTCAATTCCGTACAGGGACCCTGAGAAACGGCTGCCACATGCAAGGAAGGCAGCAGGCCACTCTCGACGCGGGAAGGTAGTGACGACAAATAACAATACAGGACTCTTTAGAGGCCCTGTAATTGTAATGAGTCCACTTGAAATCCTTTAACTCTGATCAATTGGAGGGAAGTCTGGTGCAGAGCCACTGACCCGTGCGTGCTGCAGCTGAAACTCCACTATCACCTGCTGCTGCTCGCACAGTCTCATGAGGCGGTGAGCGGGAAGGCCGAAGTTACGCTGCAGCACAGACAGGCGAGTAGCAGCAGGGTGACAACACCAAAAGCGCACACAGCCGCTACAGTGAATGTCCCATTCTGTTTCAAGTTGCAGTCAGTCTGGAGATGGCTTCTGGTATCAAGTACTCTTTTTACTGAAGCTGCATCAGGGTCCTGGTATGTGGCCACACAAACGCTGTTGCTCAACACCAGGGGGCGTGCGGTTACCCTGCTAATCCATTCCACACTGTGACTCCTAACTTCAACATCAGGCAGACAGTGTCTGGATCCTGGTCACCGGACTGCCCACCTCACTGTGAAACTACTAATGGATTGTTAAATCTGGTACGAACCCGAACTTTGCAGTTCGGGTTTGCTCAACTCTATTACGGATCCTTTGATCGCTACATGTATTACTTGGATAACTGGTAATTCTCGAGCTAATACATGCCGACGAGCGCTAGGGGACGGCCGCTCCTCTTTTGCACCCTGCTCCCTCTTATGCTGTGCTGGTGCCTCTGTGCGACCCTCACCTCTTCCTCCAAACTGCACACGTCACTCGGATGACCTTGATTCCATGTGGGGTCTAGGACCTCATCATCCTCCACATCATCTTCCACCCACTCCTCAACCCTGCCCTCCTTGCCGATATGCACACTGCAGAAAGCCACAGCAGTTGGCATCTGTGTTTTTCCAGCATGTAAAGTCTGCAAAGGACATATGGAAATTGTTTTAGAATTGTATCCAGGCAACAGTTTTCCCTATAAACTGACCTCTCAGTTTGACTTGCCCCAGAATTACAATATTGTTGAAGTACCTCTTAGCTATTGATCACTGGTTTAAATATAGCAGCTTGTTATCTGGTAGTTTCTAGTGTTGAAAATATCAATCTGTTTTCTATCACTTAGATCTGTGTAACAAGTGTTGTAGGTGTGAAACAATATTACAAGTGACCGATGTAGTAAATTCGAATCAAAGTTATGCTTCAATTTGACTCTCAGATATGAAGTGAACACCCCAAATATACTATTTAACACCAACATTTTTTTTTACAAAAATTTATTTTTTAAAATCCAATGTAAGCAGCAGATTAGCAGCAAAACAATTAGAATGTTTACAGTAAGCACACTATTAGATGCTTCGATTTGACTCTCAGATATGAAGAGCAGGCCCCAAAATGTACTATTTAGCAGATTAGCACAAAAACAATTAGAATGTTTACAATTGTGCTGTAACCGCAGTATTAAATGCTTCTATTTGACTCTCAGATATGAAGTGCACTGCAGGCCCCACAATGTACTATTTAGCAGATTAGCAACCAGAAAATAAGAATGTTTACCACTGCGCTGTAAGCACACTATTAGACTCTTCTATTTGACTCTCAGATATGAAGTGCACCCCACTAAAATACTATTAAGCAGTTTAGGACCCAAAATGTTAAGTTTTAAAACCGCAATGTGACAGCAGTATTTGGTGATTCTATTTGACTCTCAGATATGAAGTGCACCCCACTAATGTACTACACCACTAATGTACTATTTAACACCAATAAAAAATTACTTTTTAAAACTCTGATGTAACCGCGGTATTTGAAGCTTCTATTTGACTATCAGATATGAAGTGCACCCCACCCCACTAATTTACTAGTTTCCTAAGCTGTGCCTATCAGCAGCAGCATCCTCTCCCTACACTAATTAGACCGCATATGCGTGCAGCGCTACGCGACTCCAGCTTATATATAGAGGCTGGGTCACATGCTGCACTGGCCAATCACAGCCATGCCATTAGTAGGCATGGCTGTGATGGCTTCTAAGTGCACACGATTCAAACGCTTGTTGATTGGCTGCCCAGCAGCCATTCAAAACGCACCTCTAAATCGCCGAACACTGAACTCCAACCCGAACATACAGTGATATGTCCGTGTTCGGGTCCGGAGTTCAAAAAACCAAATTTTCGAGTTCGCTCAACTCTAGTCGCCTTCATTAGCAATGAAGTTAAACATTATTGGAACTTCTAGCTATTAGTTCTGGTTTAGACTTATAATTAAGAAGAGCAGGTCTCACACCGTTTTTAATTTTGGTAATGTCATTAATTAAGCCTTTTTTATTATACCCCTTATTAGAGAATTGGTTACTCAAAACCTTGGCTTATGCTTCAAAGTCTTTTTTTTTTTTTTTCTTTTTTTTTACAGCTTAGGTTTTGTGTTTATTTTTATTCTAGCTGGTGAACTTACAAAATACATTTTTGTTTTTATTGAGCATAGGCATAGGCAAAAGTTACAGGAAATACATCAATATGGTTGGTGGATACATCAGGAGTAACAGTTGGAGTAACATTTGTAACAACGAGTAGTACAATTGGCATCATACATAATAAATGACAGGGAGAAGTTAGGCGACAGCTCGCTCATCTCTGAGAATAGTAACTTGGGCGATGTACCGGTATTTCCGGTACTTGCGATGGTAGCAGTCGATGAGTCGGTGTGTCAAAATTGTCAATGTTGTGACCTCCTACTGTGCGAGGAACCCCATGCCCATGCCTGGGGGTGATTCTGACAACGTGGGGTTGGGATGGGGGGGTGAAGAGGGGCTGGGAGGATGCTTAAGTCTGTTGGTCCATGTGGGTGTGTGGATTAATTCCAATTTCTAGTCTCGGAGGGTTACTTATGTGAGTGGGGAGTGGGTGAGAAGCTGGGCAGGTGTGGGGGGGTAGTGGGTGACGACTTGTGTGAAGTGTCTGTGGGGGAGTTCTATAGCTGTGTTCCATTGTTGGGGCCTATGCTTTCTTCGGAGTCAATGTTCTAATTCTTTAAGAATTTTTCCCATGGCTCCCAGATTTCTTGAAAGAGTGTTTGTGAGAGATGGATGCGTGAATCTCTTCCACGCTCCTGATCGAATCCACCTTAGTGATCCATTCCCTGATCGATGGGGCCGCAGAGTTTTTCCACTTAGTCGGTATGAGTAGGTTGGCTGCTGTTATGAGGTGGGTAAGGAGAAGGCGTTTCATGAGGGGGTGTGGGAATACCATTAACAGTATTGTGAGAGGGGTGAGTGGTAGTTGGATACCTGTTATCGTTTGGAGTAATTTTACTACATTGTTCCAGTATCTTTGGATTATTGGGCATTGCCACCATGTATGTGCTAGGGAGGCCCCGGGTTGGGAGCATCTCCAGCACAGGTCTGGCGTGTTTGGGAATATGTTATGAAGTTTGGTTGGGGAGTAATGCCATCTTGAGACTTTCTTGTAGTTGCCTTCTTGTATAGTGGTGCAGATTGATGTTTTGTGTATTTGTTGAAAGATAGTCTTCCATTGGGTTGGTGAGATTTGGACGTTGAGGTCTTTGGACCAGGAGTCTGTAAAGTGGGGTAGAGTGGTGGTCAGGTCTGACCATAGGAGTCTATAAAATGTTGTGATTTGTTTGGTGTTGACATTTTTCACTTTGCAGTGGATCTCGAAGTCTGAGAGAGGGCGTGATCCCATGTAAAGGATGGGGTTGGCATGTTTAAAATGGGTCATTTGGACATAGTGGAGGGTTTGCATAGCGGTAGGGGGGCCTTGTCTACATATGTTTTGTAGTGGCTTTACAGATTTGCCTTCTAGCATGGAGCTCAAGGTGAGGTGTGTTTAGAAGGTCTTGGTATGACCCCACTTGTAGTCCTGGCTGGAAAAGGGGGTTATGAGTGATGGGGTGCAAGGGGAATGGGTAGGGGGAGAGATCTACCGGTTTGCGTATGCGTGTCCATGTCTGGAGTGTAGGGAGAATGGTGAGGTGTGTAGTGTGATCAGATAGCAGCATCGACATTTTTTGCCATGATGCTGTGTAGGGGGACGCTGAATACAGACCTTTCTAGCTGAGTCCACTGTTTGGTGGGGGGATGAGAGGACCATTCGTAAATGCAGGATAGCATGATGGCTTCGTAGTATTTCTTTATGTGTGGCAACCCTAGTCCCCCCGTGGACTTGTCTGGTGAGGGTGTCGTAGGTGATCCATGGCTGTTTGTGTGCCCATATAAAGGTGGTGAACATTTTTCTGAATTTGGTGAAGAATGTTTTGGGTATAGCTATGGGCAAGGTCTGGAGTAGGTACAGGATCTTGGGGAGGGTGTTCATTTTGAGTATGTTAATTCTGCTGAGCCAGGAGTGGTGTGTTTTGTGACAAGTCATTAAGTCTTTTGATATGGATTGGGAGAGCGGTTCAAAGTTGAGGTCAAATGTGGATTCTAGTTGTGTTAGGCGTTTCACCCCCTAGATATGTTATCGCTGTGTTGGCCCAGGTAAACGGTAATTTTTGTTGTAGAGAGGAGCGTGTTTGAGGGGTCACGTGGATTGGGAGAATTTCACTTTTGGAGAAATTTACTTTGAAGTTTGATAGTGTTTGATAATGGGATATTTTCTCCAGGAGAAGAGGCTTCGGGGGATTGAATCGGGAAGAGGAGGTCATCTGCGAATACCGCTATTTTGTATTATATCTGTTGGACTCGTATGCCCTGTATATCTGGGTTTTTCCTAATGCCATTCAGAAAGGGTTCTAGGATGAGAATGAATAGAAGGGGGGATAGTGGGCACCCCTGTCTCGTGCCGTTCCTGATTTGTACCGGTTCCGAGAGACTTGTCCATTGATCTTTAGCTTAGTGGTGGGGGAAGAATAGACGGACTGCATCTATCGTATCCAGTTTGGTCCAAAGCCCAATCTGCGGAGGGTGGCGACCAGCAGGGTCCAGTCGATCCTATCAAACGCCTTCTTCGTGTCGATTGATAGTAAGAGAGTGTTTGTTGGGAGGCGTTTTGCTATGTATATGAGATTTAATATTTTGGTTGTATTATGTTTCGCTTCTCTGTTGGGAACGAAGCCGGCTTGATCAGTATGTATCAGGGATTGGAGCAAGGGACGTAGGCGATTGGCAAGTATTTTCGTGAAAACCTTTAAGTCGAGGTTTATGAAGGATATCGGCCTGTAGCTTCCGCAA